TACATCACTGCTGTAGGACATCGTGAGCCTGTAACACTCGCTGCCACAGTGGCTGGCTGGATAGGAAGAACGAGAAAGAAGCAAGATGTTCCCATGGGTAATCACAGTTTCTCAAACTATACAGAACCATATAAAACACAGAAGTCTCTCAGGCACCGGAGTATAAACCAGCCACTAAAAGCTGATGAAATGTCCCCTTTCTGAGCTAGTTTCTTGTCCCTTCCTTTGAAGCAGCTGCTCAGGCAACTGCATCAGAAGCTGATCCCATCTGGCACTGCCCGTGTTGCTGCGTGTGAGACCCCCGCCGTCTCAGTGCCCGCTGTCACTGCCCTTGTTCCCCTCACACTTCCCTGCCTGGTCTCCATTCACTGTCTGTCTTGTATCTGGGAGTAAGCAGCCTTCTGCTCATAACGAACCCGGGATCCACCCTGTACCTTCGCTACATTCATAAAGCAAGCCCATGTCTAGTCAAGCAAGAAAGAATTCAGCTTCATAGAAATAATCCCCCAAACTCCTATTATTAGCTTTTTGTAGCTACATTAATTTTAGAACAAAAATTAGGTCCAAAGTGCTGGGCTCATTTTAATAAAGATTCACGGTCACAATTTAATCCCTTGACAAGGAAGAATCAGCTTTTGAGCACATCAGACTCATTACAAACTCCTCACAAAGTCATCAGAGTCCGACGAGCGGTGGCAGGGAAAACAGGCTAAAGGTGAACGATTCTGTGTCCGAATTACATCAAACAGACGTTACTGAACCTGCACTTCCCTTCGGTGCCAGCAGCCGCGGCAGTTCCAGGAGAGAGATGAAAGCACCCAGCGAAGAAGATAAACAAGAAAACAGCTCTGAAACAGGCATGCTGATAAAAAAACAACCTGGGGAGGATGGGACTTGGGATAAAAGAGAAAGTGATGGAGATTTCGTAGTGACTTCCAGGTGGGGATGCAGTCAGAGAGTGGAGCTGTCATCAGTGATCTTTATCGGGTACGGCTAGGTGTGGAGCAGAGCAATTTTCTCCCGCAAGCGCCTCGGCCGTTGTCCTTTCCTTCTGCAGCCAGCAACGCAGCTGCGAGCCCCAGGGAAGTCCCAGAAATCCAACACTGTTCCTCAGCGACTGTTTCCTTCTTTCCACATTTGCTTTAGCTCTTTCTGTCCCATTATTTTGGCTTTGGGCAAGGCAATGGGATTATACAGGAGATCCATGGAGACTTTGTCCTCCTTTAGCATGCTTATTGGTGTTGATAAATTGAGCAGGAGGAGGCAGAGGCGTCTGGATGTTTCATCATTACCTTAGTCTGATACAGCCACAGAGTTGTCACAGGAGCACGTGGAGTTCAAGTCTCAGCCCAGTGCTGCAGGCTGTGCAGGCACACAAAATGCAAGTCTCAGACCCCAAACATTCTGTGGGGCAGAACACTTGATGCTTAGATCTGTTCTCCGGGGAGATATAGTTCTGCTAGACATTTTCTGTGCCCTTGTAACATTTGGCATGAGGAGCGTCAATAGTTTATGTCTCAAGAACTATGGACCTTGTCCCTGAGGACTGCCTTCAGCCGGTAGCCTTGCCCACACGGGAGAAGATGCCGGGTTTTCTCCGGATTGATAGCTCCCCTCCCCACAGCAATGCCTCTGCAAAGACCTCAGCTCCTGCATAAAGTGTGCAGGGAACAACCAGACGAGGGGTTGATGCAGGTTATTACATCCTGATGCCTCCTACACTTTGCATAGAACCTACCTTGGAGAAGCAGAGTTTCAAGGCAGCTCAGGGCTGAAGATGCTTGCCATGGTGATTTTGATGAAGCCATGCTGGGGAGCTGGAAGCCCCACAATGTTTGGAGATGGCCTCCCAACAGCAGCCAAACCTGCTTTACAACCTTTGACGTAAGGTTTTGGAGGACAGCTGTAATGGGGCCATCATCCCCAAAGGGAGGGCAGATGAGCTGGGCTCACAGTACTCAGGGTTTAGAAGGTACACGCATTACACCAGCTCAAACTCCCATATGGGTGGTCACATGCCAACTTATTCTTAGGTTTGCCTCCTTCTGCCTCACTTTTGCGTCTGGGGTCAGTTACTGCTGAGGCCTGGGGACCCCATGGTGTTGATTTACCAGTGACACCTGGGCGCACCCGTTAAACACAGTACTCATAGGACCACTGCGGAGTGGGTCTTCTTGAGGAATGAAGTGACTGATTTCCCCAGGTGTCCCTTAGCATCAGAGCAGCTTTAGATGTCAGACCTGAAGCTTTCTTTGCCAACCTCACAGTCCATGGGGTCTCCTAAGAGAGTTCTGAAATGCCCCCAGCCATGAGCTGTGGGCATTCAAACCAAGGTAGCTTGAGGAAATGATTCACAGGGTGAGAGGTACAGGGGAGGGGGCTTTTCAGGGGTGGTTTCCCCTTTTTCTCCACTGCTTTCTCTCTCCCCTCTCTACCACCCTCCTCACTCTCCTGGAAACTGCTTGCCTACAGCTACAGGGCATCACTTCAGTCCCCGACTGCGTGTGCTGCTCTTTGCTGTGATTCCTCTCTGTCCTCTGTGTGTCCTTACAGCTGGCAATGCCTTGTATGTCTCCAGGAAATGTTTGTAAAGGCTTTAGTTTAGTTCGTAATGGGACACGGGGGAAGAACCACGACTTTGAGGAAATTCTGGCATGGGGGCTCAGCGGCTCACAGCAGCAAAACCTTCTGCACCTGCAGGAAGCTTGCTCAAAGCTACCTTGAACAAAGCTGTGGTGGCTGTGCCTGGGCCCCTGTGTAGGGCTAGACCAGGGCATTGCTAGCCCATCCCTGCAGAACCCGAGAGCCGTCCTGGAGGGGAACAAGTCTGGAGAAGTGGGAAGGGTACCAGACAGGTTGGGGTGGGGGATGCCACCCTCTCCATCCTGAGCGCAATAGTTCAGCGCTTGCAGCGGGGAATCAGGACTCGGCTGGACTCCGTGCACCTTCCCGGGCTGGTGTAGCAATCCCTGCGAAGCCTGGGAGGCATGTCCCTCTGCGGAGCGTGGCAGGGCAGCGGGGACAGCACGGCCCTGGTGGGCAGCATGGCCTGACAGCCCTGAGGGCAAATTCTGCCCAGCACCAGGTTGTGCTGTGGGCACTGCCCTGGGACGGGAACCTTCTGGAGGGGGCGAGGGAGCTCTGCCCCTGAGCTGCCCAGAGCAGATCTGCTTGGACATCCAGGCTCCACCAACCCCACGAGCCCGCACGTGTCTCTAGGGTCCCTGACCCAAACAACTTGTGCGCGTTTATTGGGCCTGCTCACCCACATCTGTATGGACCATACCTCCCACACACACTGTGAGAGCAAACATACCTCTGCTGTGAGGACAGGCTGAGGGAGCTGGGGCTGTTCAGCCTGGAGAAGAGAAGGATCCGAGGTGACCTTAGAGTAGCTGCCAGTGCCTGAAGGGGCCAACAGGAAGGATGGAGAGGGGGTTTTCACAAGGGTGTGGAGTGATAGGATAAGGGGGAACAGCTGTAAACTAAAAAAGGGCAGATTTAGATTAGATATTAGGAAGAAATTCTTCACCATGAGGGTGGTGAAACACTGGCCCAGGCTGCCCAGAGAAGCTGTGGCTGCCCGCTCCCTGTCAGGGGTCAAGGCCAGGTTGGATGGAGCTCTGAGCAACCTGGGCTGGTGGAAGATGTCCCTGCTGATGGCAGAGGGGTTGGAACCAGATGATCTCTAAGGTCCCTTCCAACCCAAACCATTCTATGTTTCTATACCACTGCAGACGTCCGGCGGGTCCCTAACACTCATGTGCACCTATAGAGTCTACGCAGCCCTCAAACATCTATAGGGACCACACTCCCCGCACACACTGACCCACACGCTCATGCACGCTTATCGGAATGCAGCAACGCCCAGTGCACGCGCTCACAGGGACCACACAGACCGCAAATCCGTGTCCCCTGCGTGTCCCCATGGCTGCTGTGGTCCCGCGCACACCCAAAAGGACACCGCAGGCAGCTGAGCCGACGGGACCCGGCCCGTCCCCGCACGGACCGCACCCCGCGGGCAGCTAAAGCAGCCACGCACCGCTCTGGGGACCCCAGCCCCGCACATCTCTATAGCGGCCATAACCCC